CATTCAAGGCCAGGCTTAAAGCACTTTACTTTAATTTAGCATATAATTAGGTAATATATAATATGTAGTGTATATATTATATATATATGCTGTATTATGTTATATATTATGTTATATATTATTCAATAATGTATTGTGTTATGTTGTATATTATGTTATATATTATGCTGTACGCTATGTTATTCTTTATTCAAGGCTAGGTTTAAAACAGTCCTCTTTAGTTTAGCATATGGCTAGGAAGGTAAGACTCGGAGAAGGTTAAACTCCTCAGAGTGTTAGTCAAGCTGCATAGGGAGTCAGTTTGCTGGGAGAAGTATGGTAACTTGAGCACTATCCTCTCCTCCTTCCTACTTTATCTGTTTAGCATTTTTAGGATTCTGACTGTAGTTTGTTCATTGCTATTCACCCGTTGTCCCATTGTCTGTTTCATGGTACGATGACGGGATCTCTGAGCCTGGCCTCTTCCATCTACACCTGCGGACTGCCCCGCCCGACCCGCCTGGGAGTGCTTCGGTCCTGCACCGGACCTGTCCACGTTCAGCGTCCACTGGTCCACGTTCTGTAGCTAGCTTAGGTCCTAGATCATTAGCCTGTCCGTCCGGAGGAGCGGATCCCTTTCTCATATGGGTCTCCCTCCCTGTGGGTTTCCCTAGTTCTCCTCCAAGGTTTCTCACTTTTTCCCACTGGGTTTTTTAAGAGTTTTTCCTTGTCGATGCAGGAGGGTCTTGTTGGACAGTTAGTGTCCAACAGAAAGGATTGGTGATGATCAGGACACTTTAGCATTCTACAACATGTATGGACATTTTCTTCTGTGTGTGCTTTATATTCTTCATGTGTTTAACTGTTGATTCTCTGACCTGTGTTGGTGATTTCAATGGTTTTGTTAAGTCTCTGAGATGACTTCTGTTGTGACCTAGGGCTATACAAGAATAAATTGTATTGTATTGTATTGTATTGTAACAATGTCCGAATGTACAGTATAGAACCACGTGTTACTGTCACTCAGCATGCTGCTAACATGTACATATACTTACAACTATATATTTCTTGCACTAAAATATACAGTATGTGCTCCTTTAGTACTTGACTCTTGCTTCTTCATCATGCTAAAGTTGGAGATTTTAGACTGTTTTTTAAGATGGAGTTAGAGATGTTATTTTAGTAAAGAGTTATTGCTCATTTACTCTGTGCTGTGTGCTCCTCCTTCCTACTGTCTGTAACTTGTGACATTTCCCGCCCACTGTAAACGATTAAAGAATGTCATTTTCTCAATCTCCAAAGTCTTTAAAACTGTATGCAATCCAGTCGATTGGCGTCAGTTATTAAACATACGTCCCGTGGCCTTGTGCGTTGTGCAGCCATTAGCCACATGTTAGTGCCAGTGCCCGTTTGTCCATCTGCTTTTCACACTTCCTCCCTGACTCGTGGTGGCTCAATTAAGACAGCAGGCGGGAACATAAAGGCGTTTTTATGTGCGTCCACAGGCAGCAGACAATGGACTCGAATAGAGACTTGACCGCGTTCATTTAGGGCGAAAATCAGACAAAATAGTGTGGTCACGTAGCGGACTCCTGCATGCCCCTCACGCAAGATTAACTAAACAATTGAGAGGCAGAGACAACAAGCTAGTTTGATGAATTCCCCTGTCACTGGTAGTAGTTCAGAGGCTTGTGCGAGAGTGGAATATTAATGAGTCAACGTGGATGGCATGAAACAGCTGTGGAAATGCATTTGTAATTGTTTTTGTATAGGTTTTAGTTCAGTACAGCTGATTTACTCGGTGACGACAATCTCCGATTCTGTTCCTTAAATGTTTTGTAGAGACAAGAAAGTCATTCCCGGTATCTGTGGCGCACTACTGAGTTTGTGATGAAGTACCGTAGATGATGGGTGCGCTTTAAACACAACGAGAACTTCATTTATATTTTGTCTTAAATGAATGGGTCAGCTGTTGTGCTCTTATTAATGAAATAATATGTATAATTACAACAGTAAGTGGCGCAGTGGGTCGCACAGTTTCTGCCTTTACCTCAAAGCCAAAAACACTGCATTAGTACATCACATGTTGTTGAGCAATTTTGAGCCACATCTGTGAAACACTAGAGGTAGAAATAGTTGGTGTGAACTTATATATAGTAGTAATCTTATAGTTAGTGTGTACTTATACTGTATACACACGTCAATTTCAGAGATTCCAAATTTCTTTCTGTAAGAGTAGAAATAGTCATTTTCTCATGTAGATTTGAAGGATTCGCTCTCCAGGATACTCACTGTTCTGTCTGAGTAAAATAGAAAGACATTTCCACAGCACACAAGATTATATATTTTAATAAAATCATATTTTGGAGCTGGCAAAGTATGATTTTGGCTTTTGTCTGTTTGCCCAGAAATCAATTACTCATGTGTGGGATCTAGTTTTGTTTATTGAAAAATGGGAAGCAGTTGGCCAAAGTCTCTATGTGACCATGACCTAAGTTCTAGTAGGGCATTTCATCTCACATTACAACTTCTTTTGCATATTTGCTGATGTGAGAACCCAATTAATGCAGCTTTAGGTTGAGCCAATTTAGACTCCGAAGAAAGTCACCACAGAGGAGGATTGATGCCACCCCCAACCATGCTACACTGAAACTGGCTCTACATCCCTCTGCATGACTTTGTACCACTTTGAACCTTATTTTGTATTTTTAATTCTGTTTTGTGTACTGGGTAACACAGACTTTAGAGGTGAAAAGCTGTCGGAAAGAGACAAATAGAGACACCAGAGGACAGCCTGCAAAATGCATGACCACAATAACAAGGGCTAACTCCAAAATCAACTTAACAGGATTTCCCCAGTGTCCTTGGAAAGAAAGCCTCCAGGAAACAGGGCACTAAATAAATGAATATTCAAGACATCTGGGTATGATGGGCCCATGTCATTTGGTTTTACTTAATCTACTTTGAACAATTATATCCATGGTTTATGTATTTTTATAAAACAGAATAATTTTAAGTTACACTTGAGCCTGATATATAGCTGTTTTTTTATTTGAAAACTCCTGCTGCAATAACACATTTTCAGTGCTTAGGAGCTACATGTGTGACAGTCAGGATTATTCTGGCAACAAAATACCTTATAGTTGTGCAATTACATGCAATAAAACCGTACAGTAAAATTAATATCGTCTTTATGTTCTCTAAGGACATAATGATCTCCCATTTTGCATGGCTAGTTAGAGAAAGGCAGAGCTATTGCTAAGACAGACTATTGATTACAGTGACGTTAATGCAGGAGCAGAGAACAGTTGGACCTCTTTTATTAGATTAGCGCTTGTGTCATCTTATCTTGTTCTTTCCAAATGCAGCCGCAGCAGCCTCCCTGGCGCATTCTATGGTTTAATAAGAACAGATTGTAAATTCACCAGTCTACTGTAGCAGCTTCCACACTGGAGCAGAAAAGGTCAGGGCTGTTGTTGTTGGCCTAGATGTCAGTGTTACAAGCACTTACTGGTAGATGGTCACAGAGTCTGTAATTTAAAAGTTTTGTTGTCTGGAAACTTGAGCTACTTGCCAAGCGTCCCCAAAGGCAATAACTTCAATGCAGAGTTGATTAGGTTTAACCACATCAGTGTTTATGGGTCAGTGGTGTTCTCTTTGTGAATGTGCTGTGTGCTTACTGTATCTTATTTTGATATTTTAAATGTTATGTATAGAAACATATAAACTGTATGCATATATGCATATGTCGTCCGTTAAACAAAAACACAAAACAAAATATGACATTCGAAGACAAATTTTACACCATAAATGTGTTAATCACAGTGAAAAAAAAGTGTATGGCTCCCACAGAAATACAAGTTTAAGCAGGAGACTTTTTTGGTTCTCTCAACTAAAAAGGTTCCTGACCTCTGTTGAGGACTTACAGATCAACCTGATTACGAAACAATAAACAAAGTTTTAAAGTAATTTCTATGTAACCCAATATGGTAGATGATAGCAGCAGAAAATCATGGTATCCTCTGTGCAGACTTGCCAGTAGTCTGGAAATGAGTAGGAAAGACTGGAACAATTTTAAACCACACCATAAGAGGAGAAAAAGCACTGAAACACGTCAATGACTGGACCAACTGGTGAAGTCTCCAAATCTCTATTGTGGGCTGTGATCAGACTACTGTGGTCTGTGGCAAAGAAGACAAATATGGAATTGGCAGGATGATTTAAGAGGCAAATTCTCACTCAAAACACAATGTAAAACTTTCTAATATTCCCTTGCCTCAACAAGGGAGCTGAAACAACAGAAACTCTTTAAAACCTACGTCTTAATGTTTATGTTGTAACAAAAATGTATTTGCTGTGTGTCAATAGTGTGTGGAAAATAAGCTCTGGATATACTCAATCATCTACTGTAAGGCCTAGTGTACATCGGACTGGCAACTGATTATATCCGTCGGATATGAGTTACTGCCCCGCACACAGCGACAATCTGGCGAAAACGGGCAACTCCTGTAACAGGCCAGTCTCAACTGGCCTCAACTACAGTGTGTTTTCTGACATAAACTGTAGAGGGCGCTATACACACATGTTGTTGGAGCACATCGGATCATATCTCCGGATCTGAGGACAACTAGTTGCCGAAAAGTAGAACACGGGCAATTGACTGAAACTGTTTATCTCCAGTTGTAAGAGCGCTCACATCGACCGATTTCAGCAACTGATCATCTCCATCATCTACTCTGTCGCCAAAAGCCGCCTGGAAACTAGTTGTCTCCAGTTACTCTGTCCATGTACGCTAGGCTTAGTGCAGTTTTTCAATGTTTTATGTATCTTAGCTACTCAAATAAACAAATGGCAAGGTCTGAAATGCTGAAACCATATATTTTTACTGGGGGAACAGGAGCAAAGATTGTGTATTATGACATGGATATTATGGAAGTAAAATAGAGAACTCTGAACTCAATAACCCTTTTCTTGGTTAAATAAAGATTACATTCAAATGAACTAGTCTTCTAAGTCTTGCGTTAGTGCAACTCACCATCGGACCACCTCATGGCGTCGTCGAGGTTGGGGGGCAGCCCCTTCCACAGGGAGCTGTCTTTGGGGTAGCCCAGGTCCATCCTCCTCAGGTGGTCGTCATAGCGCCAGTACAGGTTGTCCCTAAAGAAGTAGGTTTTGTCGTTGTGAAGCCAAACAAAGGCAGCGTCCACACCGTCCGTGGGTAAACCAAAGTCACTGATGGGTCGAGGGTATCCCTCCTCCACGATGTTGTCTTTAAACACCCAGTACTTCAGACCTGAAAAGTGTATTATCAATTATCATGAAAGTGTTACTGAGAACCACAACCAAAATAGTTAATTACACACACAGAACTCTACTTTTGGTTGATTTTAATTGATTTTATTGGTATGGGGTGAGTCAAATTGTGTCGCTTAAGGCAAATTGTTTATAAATGAAAATTTGTGCAAATGATACAACGTTTTCTGAATTACCAAGTCTGTCCAGGTGCAGCAGGTGTTCACATGCATATTAAAAAGCCACTGGAGCCAACATGACCGGAATGAAATAACCACCCATCTATTCATTTGAACAAGTCAAATACACATAATTCTGTTGAAGCTGAAGCTCAGGATGATGAAGTGTGTGTCTGTGCACTTTGTTTGACATCCCACAGGCAGTCATAACTTTGCATTACCTTTGAAGAAAACTATCTTGTGATCTCCAGGCCTCTCGTACACCGCATCCACGCTGTCCAGGTTTGGTGGGAGCCCTCTCCAGAATCTGTGAACCTGCGCTGGCCTCAGAGATACAAGATGCTTCTCTCGCGTTAGCCTCCAAAAGTATTTTCCTGCAACAAAAACAAATATTCAACCTTTACCACTGCATTCTCCCCTCATCTGTATTCCAACACTGCTCCTCTCTCAGTCCAACAAGGCCAAAGAAAAATGTAATACTGCTTTCAGAACAGTCTCAAATCACCCTTTACTTATGATGAATGTAACCTTTTATCTCCTCGCAGTGATCAATTATGGCTAATAAAATGTTACAACTTATACTGCTAAATCAATGTCATTAAATTACATCACTAAATTCTATTGTCCAACGCGGATCCGCACTTTGAACATATACCATCTATAGTTGTGGCTAATGAGGCAAGATGGTGATTTCACGCTGCACAAAGACGGCGTCCGCAGCATCTTGTTGTGCACCATAGGGGTTTTGTTTAGAGGACACTATGTACACACATGCAGACACACACAAGTTGGTCTTCAATCGATCGCGTGTTCCGCCATAACCCTGTCTGCAGCCGCCTCAATTTATCGCACAACTCTCCGCTTCCCATTTCTCACCCACCGTCTTTTTACTAAAGCTGAAATAACCTTGATGCTGTGGTGTTTGTTGAGATAATCTGGGGTAAGAATGGACACTGATCTCGTTTTCTCACCAATTTTCAAAATCCAAGTTGTTTAAGATTTAGCTACTAAACGTTATCTTTTCATGAATAATACATTACGTTTATCCAACAGAAAAATCCAATTGTTGTGAACAAATCAGACCATGACATGACGTATTTGTCTTGTTAGAAAACATGTGGTCTGTTGCCTGGTTGTGAGGCCCTGTTTACACAGACGCTGCAACAGTAAAACGATAGATAGTTGACTCTCGGATTGGCCTTTCGTTCACACAGCGTCGATGTTACAGGGGCTGAAAATGCCCCTCCTAAAAAATCTCCTACCTCCAAGAGACGTTAGTGCCATGCCAACCAAACCGAGCACTGTGTTTGCAAAAAGCCACACTTCTTGACTGACAACCTAAGATCAGTTGTCTAAAAACACAGATTGTCAGTCAAGCTTCACATGGAGACATTTTTCTGGGAGAAGTAACTTGAGCACTAACCTCTCCTCTTCCTACTTTATCTGTCATCATTAATACTTCAGCTGTAGTTCATTGCTATTCACCTACTGCCCCATTGTCTGTTTCATGGCGTGATGGTGGGACCGCCCTCATCTGCACCTATGGACCGTCTCCCTGACTAAAGGCAGCCTGGATCTATTGCCCTCAATGTGGGTCTGACTTCTTTTCCCCACTGTTTTTGTTGTTGTTGTTGTCGAGTTGTTCCTTTCCAACTCAGGAGTGCCTAAGGACAGGGTGAGGATCCGAGACATTGAAGGACATCAGTCATCCGCCCCTTTTGGACCAATGGTTCCATGTGTTTTTTAATGTTGAATGTCCTGTGTTTGAACTGGTTGATTCTCTGATTTGTGTCGGCGAATCAACAACTTAGTAAAGACCTCCAAAGTTACTGTTGTGATGTAGGGCTTTACAAAATAGTACAATTGTAAATCCATCTAGATCCAGAGCCAAACTCTTGACTCTATGTCTTATTGGGCGCTACTGGGCACTTTTTGTTCACTTGTGCCATTTGTGAATATAGATAATTTGAAATATACCTTTGAAGAAAAAAGCTTCTCCTCGTATTTGGGCCACGGCATCAAAGTGAGTGGTGCATCTGTCCGGAGCATCTCGTGCCAAGCTGAAAAAAGAAATGGAAAAAAATAAAATATACATAATAAGAGATATTCAAACAATTTTCTGGCCAATCTTTGGGCTATTATGTTGCATCTCGAGTCAAAAATGTGGTCCACTTTGAAAGCACTCACAATTAGAAATTCTCAAAGGAATAGAAACTTTTCAAATGAAGCATGTTTGTTTCTTTTGATACAGTCACTGTATCTGGAGACATATAGATACAAAATTCCAGCAACAAAACTTTGAAACTTTGAATGCTTGGGTGGGTTATTATAAACTGCCTGACTGAAGTTTACAATAAAGTTTAAATACAATTGTAAATATTTGGTAAATACTGTTACTTATTATAAATGCATGTATAAATCTGTGTACAACAGGTGAACATACGACGAATGCATGAAGGGAACTATTTCTGCGCAAATAAAATGAATAAAGGAAACACAAATGCGGCTGCATGTCACGGTGTGGATATTGTTATTTTGTATTTTGGTTTTATTTTGACATGTTCTCTGGTTTGGTTTTAGTTTGACTTTGATGTCCTGTTTTCCCCTGTCTTGATTGTCTGCCCCGCCCTGATGTGTTTCACCGGTGTCTCTCTGTGTCTATATGTACCCAGTGCTTCTCTCCTCTTGTTGCTGGTCCATTGTCTTGTCAACACCTGTCTTATCCTGTTCTTGGTTATGTGATCCTGTTCCCTTTGGATTTTTGAGTTTTATTTTCACTTTGGACTTTATTTCATTAAACCATTGTTTTGGCATTCCTGCATTTTGAGTCCTCCATCATCTCACCTCATGACACTGCACAATCATCCACATCAATTCCACTTTCTTATCTTTTAATCCATGAAAAGTTAACTATACAATAAAATCCATCTTCTAGCTACACAGTTCCTTGTTCTCAAAATAGTTTGGATTTATAGCTATTTTTCACCTGCATTGATTGTTAATCCGTCACATCTTTGAATCAGCTTTTTCAGAAATAGTGAAAAAAACCTAAAAAGGGCAAATAGTGACTCACAGGATATTTCTTACAATACATATAACTTATTATTATATGACTTGGACCGTACGCGCGCTCTGATTGGCTGATTACCGGTCTGATATTTTCCCATCTCGGACCGTTACCATGACAATCGGTCCGCAGCGCGTATCACACAAAACCAAGTTGGACACGAACATACTTCACAAATATCTCAAAAGCATTGGTAAAGACACAGACGAGAGTCATATAATAAAACATTTATTAACCTTGCTTGCTCGGTCTGTGCAGAGAAATAGACCTTGGCCTTTTTACACAGACCTCGCCACGGCTCGGTCTGTACATTAAGGCCGCGGTCTGATATTTCTCCACACAGACCTCGCGCTCGGTTAATAAGCCGTTAATACAGAATGTTGTGATTTGGTTTGTTCACAACATTTTACTTTAAGAAGACTCTCTCTGTTGGAAGTAACAACATGTATTATATTATGAATGAATGACTGAATGAAGTTTTTTATCACGGACTCAGGGTCAAACACAAGTAAACAGAAGCAAAAATAGAGATGGATACATAAGGTACTGCTGCGTCTTTACCAAGGACACGAGAATAGAACACACTCACACATTCAATACAATGTAAACAAGAAAAGAAAACCATACATTGAAAACTAAAATAATCTAAAATGAAAACAAAACTAAAGCTTTCTCTTTATTCAGATTTACCGATACAATTTCAACCCAGATCCAGTTTAAGGCTGTATCCTACACAGAGATCCATGTAGGTTGGAAACAGGGCAGGACTGGGCAGTGGTCAAAAATCATTAATATAGCGATTAGATTAATAAACCAAAAATAGTATGTAAATATTATTCTGTAAATCTCACTTTAAGCTTTTAATCACTCTACAAAAAAAGGCTATTCGTATTGTATCAAATGTCCATTATAGACATCATTCAAACCCACTGTTCATGGATTTGGGAGAACTGAAACTGCAAAATGTGATTACATTTAAAACTGCTCAAATAGTGTTATATCTGAAAACTCTGCCATCTGAGCTACAGAACCTTTTCCATGATCGAGATTACAGACTTACAGGCAGTAAAAAAGTGTATGTCCCAAAATGTAGGACAACGTTGAAATCCATGTGTGTCTCAGTGCGAGGAGCCGCTGTTTGGAATGATTTATCAGATGAATTAAAGACCTGCTCAAACCTGATCACATTTAAAAGAATGTTTAAAAAATATATATTGAATAAATATGTGGAAGAAAGAGAGTGATGCCTTGAGCACAGAGCAGGTAGTGGGAGAGAGGTGTGGGGTCGGAGAGTGTTTGGGCCTGTGTGTGTGTGTGTGTCACACCATTAATATTTAGCGACGGTGCCAAACAAAAATCTACTGTTGTTTTTATTCGCTTCTATTAAAGTTGAATAGTATTGAGTTCGAGCCCCGCGAAGGGCCTTCTTGTAGTTTCGGAGACCTGCTTTCCACTCCCTGTGGACAGGCTCCGAGTGGGAGTGGCGATATAGCCTCTCCAATTTTCTGACGTCCTGTTTTAAAGTGTGGAGTTGAACACTGTACCAGGGCGACGATGATCTAATCCTAATGGTTTTCTGTTTTAAAGGAGCTGCTGCATTTAATGCAGATTTTAAAGACTCCATAGTGTTGTCCACCGTTTGGTCAATGACTGAGGGACTGCAGCTGCTGTGAACAGGTTCACCTGCAGCAGTATTCAACATAGGCTGTATTAGTTCTTTGAACCTTGTGATAGATTTATCATTTAAGGTTCTTTTCATTATGGTTTTATCTTGCGGGACAGGAAAGTCCTCCAAAGCGAGATCAAACGTGATCAAGAAATGGTCAGACAGCAACGAGCTTTGACGCTGGATGTCAACATTGGAGACATCACAGCCGTAGGTCAGGACAAGGTCCAAGGTGTGGTTATGAATGTGAGTAGGTTCCTCGACATTCTGAGTAAAACCAACACCATCTAGTACGGCGCTGAAAGCTTTGTTTAAGCTGTCAGTGCTGTCGTCCACATGTATATTGAAGTCTCCAGCTATAACTATGTTTTCCCATTCCAAAACTAGGTTTGAAATGAAGTCAGAGAATTCTGTTAGGAACTCGCTGTAAGGACCAGGAGGTCGGTATAAAACTATAAATAGTACTGCTTTTTGTTTTCTCCACCCAGGACAGGTGATTGAAAGTGTTAAGTTTTCAAACGAGTGAAAAGCGTTGTTGGTTTTGGGACTAAGAACCAAGTTGGTGTGTGATATAATCGCAACACCACCGCCGCGACCTGTAGCTCTGGCTTTTTGGTAGTTAACATGCGTCGGAGGAGTGCACTCATTCAATCTGACGTAGTCGTCCTGTTGGAGCCAAGTCTCCGAGAGCGCAAACAGATCCAAGCCCTTGTCTATAATAAGTTCGTTTATGAGAAGCGATTTAGACGAGATTGATCTGACGTTCATTAAACCACATTTAACAACCCTACCGCTAGAACTATTTCTGTCTGTCTGAACTTTTATTAAGTTACTGTGTCTGACACCTAGGTCAGATTTCCTCGCATATAGTGCTTTAGACTTCAAGCGGGGAACACACACAGTTTCAATCTGACTAGGTTCTGAGGCTAGTAACTGAGCACACACAGGCACACACACACATGCACACACAGTTTCAATCTGACTAGCCTCTGAGGCTAGTAACTGAACAGATGGGGGCTCAGAGGTTGTGGCAGAGCAGCTCTGCACCCGGGCCTCAGTTCTGCATCGTCATTTGAGCCGAGCAGAACAGTTTAGAGCCAGGGCCAAATTCTTAGCCAAAAGGGATGTACCCGCCAACGTTGGGTGGATATCATCCGAGCGGATGAGACCGGGCTTTCCCCAAAAGGCACTCCAATTGTCAACATGAACAACACCACTTCGAGGGCACCAGCCAGACAGCCAGCGGTTGAAAGCCGAGTGTCTGCTGAATGCTTCTGCACTGCTAGTGCTAGGTAGGGGCCCAGAGAAGATGACAGTGTCGGCCATTGTGCTAGCCAGCTTGCACACGGCGGCGACTTGCAGCTTCAACACCTCGGACTGTTTCCGCCGAACGTCATTACCACCCGCGTGAATAACAATTCGACGGAAACGCTGCTTGTGGGTCATCATGAGCCTCAGATTCCCTTCAATATCACCAAGCCTGGCCCCAGGGAAGCACCGAACAGTGGCTCCTGGGATCTTAACACCTCTAACAATAGAGGAGCCAATTACCAGCGCATCAGCGACTCCATCGGCTCTCTCAGCAGCTCTCTCAGCGGCTCTCTCAGTGGGGCCTTCTTCCCCGCCCGGCCGCGCGGGGGCGCAGCCGGACAGAGCGTCCCAGCGATTGTAAATGCTAACAGGAGGAGGCCCAATGGGGAAACTACCAACAACACGTCGCCCTCTCCGAACAGTCACAAAGCCATCACTATCCTGGTCTTGTCCCAGCTGCGGAGGACGGGCTGGGAGGCTAGGCTCGCTAGTTCTCCTCTGCCTTTCCCTAAAGCTGCGCTCCGCTGTCCCTGAGGATACGGCCTGGCTGTAGCTAATGCTAGCGCTAGCTCGAGACTCCAGTGCTCGGAGACGCAGCTCTAACTCACTGACCCTGGATTCCAGAGCTACGACTACACTACACTTCACACATCTATCACTACCCTCAGAGAAGGATCCAGGGTTTAGACTCGCCATATGGCAACTCGAGCAGTAAAGGATTGAGGGAGAGACAGCAGCCGCCATAGTAGCGAGTTAGCGGCTAGGCTAGGCTAAGCTAGTACGGATCCGGGCCCGCACAACAGACTCCGAGACCAGACAAACAACCGCTACCTAAACCTCAGCTGCAGTACAGCTGACTCGGAGTGCTTACACAGTTAGCTTGGTGTACAATACGTGGATTTGTAATGTGTTTGTTAGTGCAAACAGAGAGCAGAGTGATAGCAGTCAAGAAACACGCTCACCGGATACAGGAAGTCACGTAGGAAGACATTGTTAAATACAATACAATACAATTTATTCTTGTATAGCCCTAGGTCACAACAGAAGTCATCTCAGAGACTTAACAAAACCATTGAAATCACCAACACAGGTCAGAGAATCAACAGTTAAAACACATGAAGAATATAAAGCACACACAGAAGAAAATGTCCATACATGTTGTAGAATGCTAAAGTGTCCTGATCATCACCAATCCTTTCTGTTGGACACTAACTGTCCAACAAGACCCTCCTGCATCCACAAGGAACAACTCTTAAAAAACCCAGTGGGAAAAAGTGAGAAACCTTGGGGAGAACTAGGGAAACCCACAGGGAGGGAGACCCATATGAGAAAGGGATCCGCTCCTCCGGACGGACAGGCTAATGATCTAGGACCTAAGCTAGCTACAGAACGTGGACCAGTGGACGCTGAACGTGGACAGGTCCGGTGCAGGACCGAAGCACTCCCAGGCGGGTCGGGCGGGGCAGTCCTCAGGTGTAGATGGAGGAGGCCAGGCTCAGAGATCCCGTCATCGTACCATGAAACAGACAATGGGACAAGGATTAAAGTCATTATTGCACAGCTGAGTAAAGTGAAATGACAGTGACACATGTGGTTTTGTATTGCACATTCTGAAACTAGTTTATTGCACAGGCGCACTGTGTGTTAGTCCTCATTGTTCGTTGTAGAGTCTGACAGCAGACTCAAGTCCTCAATTGGTTTTTTTGGGGGTTTTTTCTAATGTAAAAGGTCTGATGAACGACATTGGATTTTCACATTGGATTTATTTATAATTATAGAAATACAATGATGTCATCAATATTCAT